TTGGCTTTCCACCATGATCAAGTCAGCTTTATCCCAGAGATGCAGGGATGGTTCAATATACGTAAGTCAATAACCATCATAAATCATATAAACGGGATTACAGAAGAGAGCTTGCCTAAATGAAGGAAAGACATACCCAAATAGATACAAGAATCACACAGAACACCAGATAGACAGGACCAGAACAGAAATGCCCCATGGCACATCATAGTAAAAACACTAAATGGACAGAACAAAGAGGGTATATTGAAAGCTGTAAGAGAAAAACTGTAAGTCACATATAAAGGAAAACCCATTAGGATCACAGCTGACTTTTCAGTGCAAACTATGAAAGCCAGAAGAGCCTGAACCAAAGTATTTCCAGTTTTAAATGACCACAGATGCCAACCCAGACTACTCTACCCAGCCAAAATGTCTATCATAGTCAAAGGAGAAAGAAAAATTTTCCATGACACAAATAAACTGAAGGAATTCATGTCCAAACACCAGCCCTTCAGAGAGTTCTGGAAGCAATACAAAGAGCTGAAGAAAGGAATGACTATACCCAAGAGGTTGCTGAAAGAAATTCAATGAAGGTATAACTGGGGAAAAGCACAGCTATATCACGAATGTACATAGAAATAAAAATGAAAGGATTCAATACTCATCTTTCATTAATAAATTTAAATATTACGGACTGAACTCCCCAGTCAAAAGACACAGGCTAGGTGAATGGGTTAAGAAACAAAACCCATCTTTTTGTTGTCTGCAAGGAACCCATGTCACTTTCAAGGACAGACACTATCTTAAAGTGAAAGGATGGAAAAAAAATATACCAAGCAAATGGTACTAAGAAATAAGCAGGTGTAGCAATTCTAATATCTGACAAAATGGACTGTAAACTAAAACTAATCAGAAGAGATAAAGAGGTCCACTTCATTCTGATCAAAGGAACAATAAATCAAGAAGATATTACAATCATAAACATATATTCACCAAACTCTGGTGTACCCGACTTCATTAAAAAAATACTACAGGACTTTAAGACCCAGATTAAGCCCAACTCATTAATAGTAGGGGACTTCAATACCCCACTGTCTCCATTAGATAGGTCAACAGGGCAGAGAGTTAACAAAGAAACATCTGAATTAAACAATACCATATATCGAAAGGACTTAACAGACATCTACCAAGTATTCTACCCAAGCACCAAAGGACATACTTTCTACTCAGCACCCCATGGAACCTTCTCCAAAATCGACCATATACTGGGGCACAAAAATACAAATACAAGAAGCATATAAAAGATTGAAATAATTCCATGAATTCTATCAGACCGCAATGCAATAAAGCTTAAAAATCAACACCTGAAGAAACCCTAATCACCACATGAACACATGGAGATTAAACAACACACTCGTGAATGATGAATGGGTCAAAAGAGAAATTAAGAAAGAAATAAAAGTATTCCTGGAACTAAATGAAAAGGACAATACAACACAACAAAACCTCGGGGCACACTGAAAGTGGTCCTTAGAGGGAAGTTTATAGACCTAAGTGCCTACATCTAAAAATCGGAAAGAATACAGATAAATGACTGAACCCTGCAACTCAAGACACTTGAAAAGCAAAAACAAGTGAAACCCAAGCTCAGCAGAAAAATAGAAAAAACAAAAATCAGAGCATAAATTAATGAAATAGAAACAAAGAAAACAATACAAAGAATCAACAAATCCAAAAACAATACAAAGAATCAACAAATCCAAAAACAATACAAAGAATCAACAAATCCAAGAGATGGCTCTTTAAAAAGATAAACAAGATTGACAGACTGCTAGGCCTGTTAACAAAAAGAAAGAAAGAGTACCTCCAAATCAACAAAATCAGAGAAGAAAGGGGAAACAGCACAACAGACACCAGAAAGATACAGAACATTATAAAGGAATACTTTAAAAATCTATATGCTACTAAATTTGAAAACCTAAAATATATGGATGGATATCTAAAGGCATGGGAACCACCAAAACTAAACGAAGATGAGATTAACAGCTTAAAGAGACCCATAACACAAAAA